TTATTATTATTATTATTATTATTATTATTATTATTATTATTATTATGATTATGATGATGATGATTATTATTATTATTAGAAACAAAAAAAAATAAAAAATTTCAAAAAATAAGAATAAAAAAAATGAAGAAGAGAAGATCGAGTTGTAGAGGTCTTAAAAAAAAAAAAAGCGACGAAATACAAAAGAAGAGTTTGTATTGTTTTTATTTATTTGAGTTTTAGAGAAAGAATATCCCATATGAGTCTCTGCTTGTTTCACTTCTGTATATGTGATTATGCATGCAGACTAATATAAGTAGAGAGAGAGAGAGAGAGAACATTTATTATAAGGAGAAGTTCAAAATAGGTTTTTTTATTTATTTATTGTAAATCTACTGTTTTCGCTTTGGGATTATTAATATTATTATTTCTTTTTCTTTACTTCTATCTATTTATCTTTATGTATAGCGTATCCGCAAAGGATAGGAAGAGGGGGAGGTTCCTAACAGAGAGTGAAATAAAAATAGAAGGAAAAAAAAGGTAAAAGAAAGGAAAAAGAAACAAAGAAAAGCAAAAGGAGTGAAACGTTCAAAAGGAACACACTCAAAACTGAATAATAGGAGAGAGAGAGAGAGAGAGAAGGAAAGAAGAAAAAAAGAAAAAGAAAAAAGAGGAAACAAGTACTTTAAAAAAGGAAAAAAAAAAGGAAGGAAAGAAGGAAAGGTCTGATTTATACAACGAGAGAAGAAGAAAAAGAAGAAGGAACAAACCAACAAACAAACAAGGAAAGAAAGAAAGAAATATATAATTACAAGTATTGGATTGATAAGTTGTGAGAAAATTGCCCATATAGTTCTTTTACAATGCGCCACCACATTCCTGTGGGAATGAATGGCAGGAATACTACTAGCACAACTGCAATGGATACTACTACCACTATTACTGCTACCACTACTACTGCAGGCAATGGAGGTTTTTGTAATGGCGCTTGTGTTGGAGGTGTTGGTGTTGGGGCCCCAAAGTCGTCGGATGTGGCGGGTGTGAACAATAGCAACAATTATGTACAACTCTCATCCAGTGATATGTCTGGGGCGGCGGATGCGAGTAATGAGGAGGTGAATCAATTACTAAAGGAACTGGAGTGTTCGGTTGGGGGTCCACACGCGGCGGCTGTTTTGCGGGATGCGGTTTGGGCGATTGAACGTCGCTCGTTGGCGAGTTTTGATCCACTTAGCCGTGATCTCTTTCTTGAGCAACGTATACGGGATGTACTCTCGGAGTTATCTCGTACATCTAATCCAAAAATGTTATTACTTGCGGTAGACTTTATTGATGCCTTATTGGGGGTTCAATATACGAATCCAGAGCAGAAGTTTACACGACTTTGTCGAAGTCTTTTTATGGTATTACATTGCGGTATAGAGAAGCCGGCAAAGGAGGCACAACGGGTATTAAAGCGTATGTTGGAAATGGATCTTGAATTTGGTCCATTTGATCCACCATTAAAATCCTTTATTACTAAAGAATTAAGAGATAATTGTGAACTTGCCCTTATTCAATTGCATGGACGAGCTCAACAAACAAAGGCACCTTTTGTGGCCCAGTTTCTTGCGGTTATGTTAGCCCTTGCTGCTACGGCGCAGGTGAATCCACGATATATGGCTGGACAACTTCGTCCACATGCCGTACAACTCGCCACTGCACTTGCGGGATCCTCCGATGAGGTTTTGTGTCGTGCCGCGTATGATTGTTTAGTAGCGATATTTAGTCATACAAGTGCTTTGCGGCATAATGAAGTGGTTTTGGAAAATCGACGAGTGTTAGATGATGCTATTCGATCTCTTAATACAAGTCATAATAATGAAAGCAGTATTATATCCACACTTCAATCACTTCGTGCACTTATTAGTAGTCGTGGTGTACATTGTATGGAAAAACAAGCTCAGATTTTACCACAGCTTTGTGTACTTGTAACAGAACAACATCGTGTATCTAAATCTCCAGCTGTTCGGGGAGCTGTGTGTAATCTTGTTCCTGTTATTGCCGAGACAGATATCCTCTCGGCAGCACGACGTACAACCTATTGTGCTATTATTATGGAACCTGTTAAAAATGTTCGTGATGAAAAGAATAAAAAATTGGAGCTACGTAATGTAGCTACCTTTATTCAAAATGTTGGATATGAAGTGTTAGACTCTACTAACAGAACCAATTTGGATTCTATTTTAATGCGTTACATAACAAGACGGGAAACACAAGAAGAATGTTGGCATATATTAGCAGCTATATGCAGTGTTCAAGTACGATCAGCTTGGAGACGAGCACAGTTTGGATGTCGGTCAACGTGGTCTATTCACGAAAGCTTCTCTGCAAGTAAGAATGAAATGTCAAATGTGACAGCAACTCTAGCCACAGCCACACCAGGAGAAAATAGTACTTCCACAAAGGAGATCTCTCCTGCAATAGATAGTACATTGGCTACACCGACGAATAATAGTCTTCACTCTGGAGTTTCTAAACAACAAGCTCTTATGCAGCATGTTGGTAATTTAGTAAAACGTTGTATTCCATATATGGCATATGCTGTTCTTTCTGCTGAACTTGTGTATTACATAACTATACTGAAGGAACATATTCCTTCTGTGAGTGCAGATCTAATGACGGCTCTTGATAGTCTTGTAGATCGTAAGTTAAAAGATGATGGTCAAGACTCTAAACGAACGGATGGAGAGAGTAGTAGATCTCAATCCTTTCGTGATAGTGGTCCCTCTGTTCCATCTGGATCTGCACATTCTAAATCTAATCAAGACACCACACAAGCATCTACATTTAATCCATCTAATAGCGCTGTAGGTCGTCTGGCGCAGTATTTTCTCCCACCTACTACACTTGATTCCACTGCCGCTGCCCTTAAAGGTGGTGTAAGTAGTAGTGGTCTTGGTAGTGCTACTTCCATGACAGCAACAACAACAGCCACAACAGCAACAACAACAACAGCAGCAGCAGCGGCAACAACAGCAACAACAGCAACAGCAACAGTGGATATGTCTGCACAGAGTGTTGGGGCCACACTGCATACACCCTCAGGTGTCAGTTTCCCTTTTGTTGGAGGCATAGCAGGAGGTGTGAGTGCTGTGAATATGCCATTACCACAACCAGTGGGAGCATCTGAAATTAAGATTGCACTTGAGGTATTCTCAAGGCGACAAATTACATCTGTTCAGCAGTTAGAAGAAGTTCGAACATCTATTATACATTATCAACGACATTATGATTCGGAAGTGCGACAACAGTGTAGTACGGCTGTTGTGGAAGCCCTTAGTGGTTGGACACTATATGCCAAACAACATCGTACCTCTACCTACTCCACTCGTGTTACTGAGATATTGGAACTTTATATACGACATGTCGTAATGGAGTTAGATCCTAATGTTCGACTTATGCAAATTGCACTTTTAGCAAATGCTGTGGAACTACGAGCTTTTCTTTTAGAGCATAGGATTCTTAAAACACTTACAAGTTTTCTACATGATGTATCACATGTTCGAGAAAAGACGGTGGAACTCTTTGTTGCCCTCACACAAGAACCAAGATCTGGAGCTCCTGTAGAAGCTGTTTATCAGAGTTTATCTGTCCTTGTAGAATCATGTGTAGTGGCATTAGAGTATTCTATTGATCCACGTATTCTTATCCGTCATATGTCTGATCTACAAACACTCGCTAAATTCAGTCTTGAACCTTTAATGGATCATTTACATCGTATTTTTATTGCATTTCAAAAACAATTATTAGAAGAATGGTTAGCTGATCCTATTGCACTTTCAATTTTAAAAAGTTTGGATACTATTCTTGGTGCCTTTAAGAATGAAGAAGTTATGTTACAATATCAAGATGATGTCGCTGAACTTTATGTTCCTGTTGTAGGGATTTTACGCTCAAGTACTTCTTTATCATTAAGTCATGCCGCTATTGCTGTATTGGTACGTATGCATACTGTTGGGGCTTCACCGAGAGAGTGGAATGCACCACAATTACATGAATTACTACAATCTATTACTTCTGTATATATTGGTGCTACAAATAGCTCCGAAAAAGAATTAGGACAAGTATTAAAGCTATTTGGTCAACTTGGAGCAGTTGATCCAGCTACTAAACCAGATACTGCTGCAATGAAAAAGAAAAAAGATGATGAAGCTGCTATTCAAGATGAAGCAGATCTTGAACTTACATATGATTACACTGTTATTGTGTATCGTGATTTAAGTCGTATGTTAGATTTAAGTTTATCTGAAATGGTGTGTACCCAGGCTATGCGTACCTTGTTACATCTTGTACAGACTACATCTGATAGGAAGGAACTTATTGGTGGTGCTCATGCCGTGAAGGCAGTCTTGCAAATTGCTAAACGTGCAAGTGATACCCCATCTCTTCGAATTGAGGCATTGCATATACTTACAGCTATTACAGCACTTCGACATGAAAAAATTACCAAGACACTATTACCAGAGATTGTGGTTTTGCTTGAACAACTTTGGTATACTCATGATCATGCTCTTTTCCGTGCTGTATTAGATGTTGTGAGTGCATTAAAACCTGGTGATTTATCAGGAAAGGAACAGTTAGAAGTTTGGCCTTGGCTTTATCCTCGTTTAGTGGATGTTGCCTTGCAAGATCGTACAGAATCACGTGAGTTCTGTCTTCGTGTTCTTGACATTCTACTTCATGCCAGTTATATTCCCCCACATTGCATTCCCGTTGTTTTTCCCATGCTTATGCAGTTTGTACAGCAGATGGACCAATTGGTAGAAGTACGTTCGCTGTCTCTTTGTGTGGCCATTCATATTGTATGTGATCTCAAGGCCGTTCAGCATCTCTCGGCATTGCTGCATGCCGCCCGAACCCTCACACGGCACTGTGAACTTAGTGAAGATCTCGGACCGCGTCTTGCCACTACACTACTGCGAGACTCTTTAAAGGTTCTTGCGGCATTGTATCCTGGTGGTAAGGCGGCTATACGTGCATTGCGAGAGCGACTGCGGGAAGCGGAAGAGGCGTCTCACACCCACAATAATAATAATAATAATAATAATAATAATAATAATAGTTCTAGTCATGTTGGGGGGAACACGGAGCATATGAATGGGAATACGAATAATAATAGTAACAATAATAATAATTGTAGTAGTAGTGTTAGCAATTATAATGGGAATAACAACAATAATAATAATAATAATAATAATAATAATAATAATAATAATAATAGCAATTCTAATACTTTTCATAACGGCAAGAACAACAACAATAACTCTAACCATACTAGTAGAAGTGGGATGGAGACAGTGACGTACTCACGTCGGTATCAACAGCAGCATCATCCGCGGGAGCTTCGCCGTGGTAATAGTTTTATTGATCAACAGGAAGATGAACGGTGGGATATTTATCCCCAGGGGCAGCAAGATATCACGTTATTTATGAAGCACGTGGAGTTTGGATTACGCACTAAAGATAATAAGTGGCGGGAGTGGTTTGCAGAGTTTCAAAAGAATATTATTGTAGTCTCCCCACATCCGGTTTTTCGTATTATGGTGGATCTTTTTGAAAAGCATGAACCTCTGCGACGTAAACTGTTTCATCCATCTTTTAAATGCTTCTATGAGTCTCTCAATGCGGAGCAGTTAAAAAAGGTGAATGAGGTACTCAACCTTGCATTACGCTCTGGGGATAGCGAAGTAGTTTCTAAATGTCTTGGACTTGCTGATTACTTGGACCACAATCCACCAAATATAAAAGAACCTGTATTACGTCAATTAAGACATCTTGAAAGTAACGAAACGGTTCTACGAACGAATACGGCAACGGCCACTCTTCACTCTGGTTCAGAACAGCAGGGAAAAACTATTAGTGATAACTTTAATCTTGAGTCACCGACCTTTTCATTAGGATCATCAGGGAGAACACGCCCGGGTACACATCAGACAGCCTCTCATTTCACAACGAATCCCTTGGGAGCCGCAAACAACGGCAATACAAATAATACTAATACCAATAATAATAACAACAATGGTGGTAGTAGTAGTAATAATAATAATAATAATAATAATAATAATAATAATAATAATAATACCATCAGCACGAATGATACACAGAATGATGGTATGGGGGTAGATTCCCCTAGAAATGATGAAATCAGTGGAGAATTTAATCCATTGGCACGTCCAATCACAACGACAACACATTCTGTCCCTGCGGCGGCATGTCCGCATGCCCCACCTATTCCCAATACTGTAAATCCATTATTTACTGTAGATAGCCTTGTAGAGGCTGCACAACGTACGCATATGTATGATAAGGTTATGAGTTACCTTGAGAACAAAGTACTACCAGTTATTGAAAAATATCGCTACCGAAAGCGTGTTCCGAAAGAAATTTTTCACTCTGTTGTACTCCCACTTGCGTGGTTGTACAGTAAACGTGAAATGCAAGATTCTGTTGTAGGTTTATTTCGTGCTATTCGCTACAAAACCGAAAATGAAGACGCATTAGGTTATGAATTACTACAATGGTGGGATGTAGCTCAAAGTGTGTATGCCAATAAGGTAAAAGATTACAGCAAGTGTAGTGTAGTTGATATTGAAGGATATGTACGTACACTATGCCTCTGTGGTGAATGGGAAAAAGCGTTGTGTGTTGTAAAGGCTTTTCATAAACAGTCTTCACAACTTTCTTCTACTACAGCCGAATCTGGTGCTATGGCGGCCTGGATTCTTGGTGAATGGGAAGATGTGAGAGAGTTAACAGATCGTGTTCCTGCCAAAGAGAAGGGAAATATTGCGTTAAGACTTTTTTATCAAAATGCTGTTTTTTTTCACAATGAATTTAGTAAAAAATATACCGAAGGTGGGGAAATATCGAAACGTGAACTTTTTATTCGTGATATCACACGTGCAAAGTTGGAAGTAGATGAGAGTCTCAAAACATTATTACCGCTAAGTTATGCTCATGCTTATGAAAACCTTACAATGCTACAACACCTTACAGAAATGGAAGAACAAGTTGCCTATGTAGAGTCAAAATCTGTAGCTTTTCGAGAATTACTTGTAGATCGTTGGAAACGGCGTTTTACTGCTCTTAAACCAGATTCATTATTACCTAGTCTTAGAACTCTTATGGTGCATTCTCTCGTACTTCAACCGAATGAAATGTCTGAAATGATTTTAAATTTTTGTGAACGAATGGGTACAAACTATCCACAATTATCCAAGTGGGCTATGGCATGGTTGCAACTTGGACGTACTCCACGTGGAAGTCATGAATATAAACGTGATCACATGGTAACTGGTGCCCCACTTAGCTCTCAACCTCTTGTTGCAGTTGTTTATATTAGTCAATTGTGGAATGAAGGAAAACGTAAAGAGGCAGTATCTATGATGGAAAAATTTCTTGATGAAACGAAACCAATATTAGAACAAAAACAACCATCTTGTTATGGTTCTGCCCAACTTCGTCTTGGATCATGGAAACAGGAAATGTATGCTGACTCCTTCTGGAAGAGTGAACATCGTCAAGAGGTTCTTCGTCATTTCCATGAGGCTATACGAGCTGTACCTGAAAGTTGTGATGTATGGCATAGTTGGGGTTTATTGAATTATCGTGTACAACAGCGTGATCACTCATTAACGTCAGAGGAACAACATTTGTTTGTTGAGGCAGCTCACCAAGGTTTTGTAGCTGCTATTTGTAGAAGTTCAAGTCCTCCTACAGCTTTACCTGGAGTTATGCGTTTACTGCAACTCTGGGTATTTCATAATGGTGTTTCTCTCTTAAAGGAGTCTGTAGCAGATAGTGTTTCTCGTATTCCAACTGATTATTGGGTACAGGCTATACCACAATTGATTGGTCATTTAAGTAATAATAGTCATGATGTACGAGAGGTAATTAGTATGATTCTTCGACAATTATGTGAAGTTCATTCACAAGCTGTTGTATTTCCTTTATTAGTGGTATTTATGTCTGATGATGGATGTGGTGGTGCTCAATTACGTAGACGAGAACTTTCTCAATCTATTATTAAGTATTTACCTAAACGTATTCGATCGGATGCTGAACTTGTTGCAAAACTCTTAGTAGATGTATCTGCTATTCCTATTGAAAAGATTCGAGAAAATCTTAGTGCAGTGGCAACAGCATGGAACCCTAATGCGGAGTATGAAGAAGATCCAGAAGAAGTTAGACGACGGTTAAAATCTGTACTTGAAATCTTTAATGCCCATCGTCGGCATTTATTGTATACAGTTGGAGATATAGGACAATATATTGATATGGTCTTGGAAGATGAAAAACGTGGTGATCGTGAAAAGGCTAGTAGTATTGTAACTCAATTGGTGGATGAAATTACTAAACATATCACAGAGAAACTTGGAAAAGAACCTCAAAAAGCCATGGAACCATTACTAAATCTTCGTAATCTTTCCATAGCTGTATTTGGTGAATATGATATTCAATATACAAATTTTCCCACTATAGCCTCTTTTAGCTCTAAATTAGATGTTATTCCATCTAAAAAACGTCCTCGTCGTATTCGTTTGACAGGATCAAATGGTTTTATGTATACATATTGTCTTAAGGGAAATGAAGATATTCGTATGGATGAACGTGTTATGCAGCTTTTCGGAATGGTAAATGTACTTCTTAGTGATGCTCATACCGCAAATAGTGCTTTTATTCATCGTTTTCCTGTAATTCCCATTAGTAATAATGTGGGTTTACTTGGTTGGGTGGAACATGCTAACACTATTAACAGTACTATTTGTATTCATCGTAACACCATCTCTAAAGTTCGCACCTATCATGAATCTAGTGTTCTTCGCTCCTATGTGGAATCCTTTGGACAATGGGATAAACTCACAATGATTCAACGTACAGAAGTATTGGAGTATGTAATGACTCAACCCAACTGTGAAGCTGTAGATGTAGCCCGGGCCATGTGGCATCGCTCAAATACAGCTGAACAGTGGTTGGAGCGACGAACGGCATTTACACAATCATTGGCAACTATGTCTATGGTGGGATATGTACTAGGACTTGGGGATAGACATCTTGGTAATATCCTTCTCTCTATGTCTACAGGTAAGATTGTACATATTGATTTTGGAGATAGTTTTGATGTTGGTAGATTGCGTCATGTCCTTCCAGAGACTATTCCATTTCGACTCACACGAATGTTAACAAATGCAATGGAAGTGTTTGGTGTGGATGGAGTTTTTCGTTCCTCATGTGAACGTACACAGACGACTTTACATAAAAATCGTGATAGTATCATGGCTCTTTTATCAGCCTTTGTGCATGACCCTATTGTTCAACATAAAGGGAAGATGAAGAATATGATGGAAAAGAGTCGAACCCCACAAGACATTGCCGAGCGAATTCGAAATAAACTACGTGGAACAGAGATGGCGGTTGAAGATAGTGATCTTATAATCTTCAATACCGTACCGGAGAGTGCACGTCGTCCGGATTTGTTTTATATGTCCAATGCCTTTAATGATGCTGCACGTCGAAGTTTAGGCAAAGCACTACCACCACCGAAACAAGTCTCAATGTTAATTGATGAAGCCACTCGTGTGGAGAATTATGCCGCACTTTACTTTGGATGGGGACCACTTTGGTAATTTTTTAAAAGAATGATGACAAAATGAAATGATATGAATCTTGTGTTGAAAAAGATTTTTCTCTGATGGTGTGTGAATATATGTATTCCGTCTGTCTGTACTGTCTATCTATCTATTTATCTCTCTTTAATGAGACTCTTGGCTCTCTTATTCTGTGAACTGACGTGTACTCCCTTACCAGTATAGCCTAAAAAGAAACAAAAAAAAACAATATTTATATATATGGTTAGAAGAAGAGTACAAGAAAATAAAAACAAAGGAGCGATAGAGAGAGAGGGGGGAGGGATCGCAAACTAAAACGAAAAAAAAAAATTTTTTTTCTTTGAAAAGCAGAGGAAACAGTTAATTACTGGTTTCTTCTTCCTAATCGATGATTTCTTGTGAAAAGGAGAAAATGAACAAAAAAAAAAAAAAGAAAGAACGCCATGTCAAAGAACCAATAATATATCATTCTTCTTTTGTTCTTTTTTTCTCTCTTTTTCTCTCTCCCTTCTTAGACTATTTTGTTTGGTCCTGTATTCTCACGCACACAGGTACACCATCAAAGGAATTTAAAAAGTTTTACTGAGTAAATGAATATATATATATATATATATATATATATATCTGTACGAAAACGATCTTTTATGGAAAAGAAGTTACAAGAAATTTCTATCTTTCTATCTTTATCTATTTCTTTCTTTCTTTTTTTCTCATACTTTGATTCTCTTCTTCTTTTTCTTGCATTGCTATTCTTGTTCTAGTTATGTGTGTGAGATTTTATGTTTTTTTTTCTATTCTACCTGTAACGTGCAAGCGAAGTTATCTTGATGTTTTCGTTGTTTCTTCGTTTGTTCTATTGCATGTTTTCCTGGTTTTTCCCTTTTTCATTAATCACTATTACTGTTTTCTACCATGTGATGTGTCTTCTGTGTGTGTTCTTCGTGATTGACCTTGTCTTTTATTTTAGCATTCTTAGCTGATCCTGCAGCGGCGGTCAACTGTATCTATGCTTGCAGTCTTACTTGTATGCATCTTCAGGTCACACAGACACACATATATACATAAATATATATATACAGTGAGGGAAAAAAAAGGGCTGGGTTAGAATAACGAGGTGTAAAATAAGAGAAAAAAATAAAACGGTGATTACTGGGGAAGGAGAAGAACAATGCAACGTTTAGAAGGTATGGTTGGGAGAACAGATAAAAAAAAAAAATGAATATACTATCTTGAGAGGCGCAAAGAAAAAAAAAAATACTACTAGCAATAATAATAATAATAATAATAATAATAATAATAATAATAATAATAATAATAATAATGCTCGTTTAGTGAGAAACAGTGAAAATAAAAAACAAAAGGGAGAGGAAGAGTGAGATATTATTATGTGGAAGGAACGTGTACATTCAATACGGTTCTCGACAGAAGCCTCTTACATATTAATCACAAGGATAAGCATTATGACGCTATTAAAGTAGAGTGGCAAGAAAGAAAAAAAAAAGAAGGACGAGCCGGATGAAATTGTGTTTCTCATGGCAAAGATGATTATGAGGTTACTCATGATTAAAGTTATGGTTGCGATTATACTTTGGTTGCTGATGCTCTTTTTGTTTTGTTTTTCATCATGGAGAGTCAAACTCCTACTGTGTTTTTGGTCTCGTGGAGACGAATACAACCACTATCAGCATGTCTGTGGCTCGAAATTATACAACATGGTGACAGTATAAACGCATACGAGCATTTACGAACGTAGTCAACCGTATACCCTTTTTTTTATGTTTTTTTTTTGTGTGTGTGTGTGTTGTTGTTGTTTTTTTGGATATTTTGTATTTGGTCTTCTTTTAGAAGTTTAAGATATCGTTTGGAGGTGTATGTTTGTTTTTTTATTTAATTGCTGCTTTGCTTCCTATATTCTTTCTTTTGCTCTTATTAAAAAACCTCTGGTGAAATATATTTCGTACACATTCGCAACTAACTAACTAACTAACTAAGTCGAACTACCTGATATGATGACTCTCCCCGTGTTTGATATTCCACATCTTGAGAAAGATGAGGGGTTACTCCTGTTTAACGTGGAACCCACACTTTTGTGTGGTATGGCAACTGGACTCCGCGTTCTCCCGCATGGAATGGCACTTCAGCAGCAGGCCAGAATGACTGCACGATTGTGGGTAGAGAAGGAACGGCAACAGCGGCATCACGCACGCCGTCACGAAGACCCTCACGCTATGAGTGGCTCCGATGTGGACGATGATGATGATGATGATGGAAATGATGGTAGCTACGGAGACGAAAACCAGCAACAGCAACAACAACAACAAAACTTTCGTCGTAAAAAGTTTGTTAAGTTAACAGATGAAGATTTACAGGTGGATTGGTATGATGTACTGCGTCTGGAGCAAGGTGAGGGGGCAACAGAGGAACAAATACGGGCGGCCTACCGTCGACGTTGTCTGGAAACACACCCAGATAAGCAGAAGGATCGCTCTGATGAGGCCTTTAAGAAGGTTCAGCGTGCTTTTGATATTCTAGGCGATGCTGAGACCCGTTTGGCGTATGACTCTTCTCGTCCTTTTGATGACAGCATCCCACCGGAGACGCTTCCTTCTGGGGCAGACTTCTACGCTACCTTTGGTCCCGTATTTGAACGTAACAAGAAGTGGAGTAGCGAGCCTAATCTCCCCTCCATTGGTGATGATAACATGAGTCTTAAAGATGTAAACCGCTTCTATGACCGTTGGGCTCGCTTCCAGAGCTGGCGTGACTTTTCCCACCTTGTCGAGCTTGATGAAATTGATGACGGAATGTGTCGTGAGGAGAAGCGTTACTACATGCGTGAGAATGCACGTCAGCTGCAACAGTTCCGTCGTGAGGAACAACAGCGACTGCGTACTTTAGTGGAGCGGGCGCGGCGTAGTGATCCTCGATTGCGGCGTGCCCGTGAGGCGGCAGAGCGGGAGGCGGCAGAGCGACTGGCGGAGCGGGAGGCCCAACGTGTGGCCCGCCACGAGGCGCGGGAGGCCCGGCGAGTGGAACAGCAGCAGCGGGAGGCCGCAGAGGCGAAGGAGGCGGCAGAGCGGGTGGTGCGGGCAAAGCAGGAGATTCGCCAAGCCCAGCAGGACCTCCTCGCATTCCTCAGGGAACATGAATTGCTGGATGAGACACCAACGAATAAGTTCTTTCGACATGTCGTGCGGAAGCCCAATGTGACGTGGTTGTTTGCTAAGATCCATACACCAGAACGGGCAGCGGCAGTGCTGCGGGAGGTGACGGAGTGTAGCACAGAACGACGTCAGGCTGAACCACAGCAGGAGGCAGTCACTAATAATAACAATAATAATAATCATTATCATCATCATCGTCATCATCAACAAAACGATGATGATGAGGGAGTGGAAGTGGAGGCGGTGTTGCGGTTTAATGCACTCGTTGAGGATCAAGAACAGCAGATTGGTCTGACACGTTATGGGGAACCTGTGAAGAAACGTCCAGTGGTTGTGCCCGCTGCAAAGGCTCCTGAACCTGAAAAGAAACCCGCTGCAGAAGCACCAGCTGCAAAGAAGCAGGAAGAATGGGATGAAGAGGATTTGGTTCGACTGCAGAAAGCCACGGCGAAATTTCCGCCAGGTGCAGTGGATCGCTGGGAAAAGATTGCCGGTTTGCTGCGTGGTAAATTCACACCAGAGGAGGCGATGGCAAAGGTAAATGAGATTACAGCAGCACTACATCATTCAAATAATAATAGCAGTAATGCACGCGCTGCAGGGCAGCCACAACCTTCTACAACTCCAGTGAAGGTTCCATCTACTGTTGTTGCGGCAACAACCGCCTCCACAGTTCCCCCAGTGGAGGATTGGACGGTAAAGCAGCAGAAACAGCTGGAGCAAGGACTACGAGAGCTCAAGGACTATAAAGAAAAGGATAAGTTTCAGAAAATTGCAGCCATGGTGGATGGTAAAAATGCTAAAGAGTGTTTTGAACGCTTTAAACACTTATGTGCTATCAGTAAGCGTAAGTAATTAAAATAGAAGAATGTAATAATAATTATAATAATAAGGAAAAAAAGAGGTGGTTATGGTAAGGGTAAAGAAGAAGAAATAGAGAGAGATGGTGATAGAAACTCGTTGTTTCTTCTTATATTTCTTGCTATCTCTGGGTAATGTGGCGTACCAAAGCAAAAAAAAAAAAAAAAAGAACAAGAATAGAGTCATTATTGAGACTTTAAATTATTTTTTTTCCTTCCTTTCTTTTTTTTTCGCTTATCCTGATTTGTTTTAATGGTGTTGAAGAAGCCTTCAGTGACCAGTGGTTTCTTTGTTACTGAAGACACGCACAACCATTACCAAGAGTGAAAACAAAATAGATAGATAGATATATAAAAGAATTAGTATAATAGGACGTGAGTGGATTTTTGTTGCTAATATATGCCCACCTTCGCCACACACACTTCACCTTCGCTGCCGTACCATAATACTAATTATCATCATCAGCATCATCATTACCAATATCAGCAGCAACCACAACCGCAACAGGCAAATAATCCACTCCCATGGGGAGGTGACCATCAGAATATAATGCTTCAAGTAGGACTACAGTATGGACAAAGTATGCTTCAAGGAGGGGAACAGAGTTTAACACGTCATTTACCTCTTATATCAGGTATTAAACGCTACTTTCGCGTAGATAATCAGTATGTAAAAAAAAAACTTTCTATTCTGTTATTTCCATTTACTCGAAAATTTTATGTCTCACAGCGAACTCCTGGTCCTGAGCAAGATATTAGTGGAATTCCTTCTTCCTTTGGGGGTGATACAACGGTGTTCTCACCCGTTACTAATCGATCACCAACTTCTATGACAGGTGGCTCGTACCCATCATCTTCACCTACAAGTGATGAATATGCATTTGACTTGTATCTACCTCTTATGGGGTCCGTCACCTACGTTATTCTTTCAGGTTTCCTACATGGACTTCATCACAATAACGTAACGAATGAACACCTAATATCTTTTGCTTCATCACTGCTATTCTGGATTATTCTAGAGCTTCTTGTATTGAAAGTATTAAGTTACGTTCTACGACTTGTGCCACAGGTAACTCTCTTGGACTTGTTAGCATTGTCTGGTTACAAGTATATCACTATTTGCATTGTTGTGCTCTTGAGAGAACTCATACAATTAGATAGTGATACCTATTATATTGGTTTTATGGTAATGTATGTATTGATATCCAATGGTTTCTTTGTTAGTAAGAGTTTGATGCGGTTGTACCAACGGGAGGGACGAGTTCCATCTAACACAAGGCTACTAGCATATGCTGCTGCGTTGTTTCAGGCCCCACTCGTGTTGTGGTTAGCACTTAAGCCGTTTAGGTAAAATATTTTAAACCAAATCATGACTTTTTTCTTTTACATTCTTTTTTTTTTTTTTCATTTTCCAATGAATATTCTCAGTATGATCAATCATACGAAATAATGATATGTATCATTATATTAGTTTTACTCTTAATGTGAAAGTTTCACCTATGGGTTTATTCTTATTCTTATTTACCCCTATCTATTTTTTCTTTCTTTTCTTTCCATTTCTAGGATAGCGTTGGTGACTCTGGGAAGAGAGGAAGAAGAAAAAAAAAAGAAAAGGAATCACAATGGGAGACCAAAAACGCATGTTATGGAACCTGAAAGGCCGTAGTGCAGTGGGAGCTCTGGATCCACCGACACGGCATCGTATACTGCAGTCTCATGTGATGGTTTCCTGTATGCATAAACCGCTGCTAGCCACAGTGGAGTCGCTCATAACGGTACAGTATGTAGGAGGTCTCAGTGGACCTTTGCAGAAACCTGAACCATTCATCTGTCTCATTACACGACTTCTTCAAATCACACCAGATCCATCAATTGTATTAGCTATGCTACATCAAGATGTGCACAAATATTTACGTGTAGCTGCAATGTTTGTCATTCGCCTTATCGGAAATGAAAGTATGGTACGTGAGGCTATTCGAGTTGGTTGGGATGACTACAGAAAGATCCGTGTTTACGGTTTTCCAGAGGATTGGAATACCGTAAAGGAGGACAACCAGGAAAACTCCAAGGAGGATGGGGAAGTTATGAATGCCCCATCATACGCCATCATGTGCATAGACGAAATTACCGACCGTTTGTTCAATCTCGGGAACAATACCAACAATAACACAAATGCAGATCAAGGGTATACATGGTTGGGTATTCGTTTTTCGCCTATGCTTCTTTAGTGTGTTAATGAAAAAAAAGGGAAGAAGAGAGAGAGAAGAAAATATATCCTTTTAATTCTCTTACTTCTTCAGGTGTGGTGATTGTGATTTTTATCTTAGTTTATTATGAATCTATGTGAGGTGTACGTAATCCTTTTTTTTTTCATTGATTTCTTGTCATTGTAAATATGGTGCTTTCTTTTCTTATTTATTTCTAAAGTGATTAGAGGTATCTGAAGAAAAGAAAATAATAATAATAATAATAATAATAATAATAATAATAATATAAGAAAAAAACCAATAACTCATGAGTCGCAACAAAATTGATGTGGAGACACAGTTTCGTGCCTGGCAGAAAGAGCAGAAAAAAAATGTTCCTGTTAGTTTCATGGACTGGCAGAACCTGGAGCTCAATATGCCCGTCGTTGTTCCTCTTCTTATTGTCACTGTAATTACTTCTCTTCTCATAATGATGGTTCCTTTTGTCGGACGCAATGGGTCAAAGAAATCTAGGTTTGACCTAGGCAGACGATTTGCTAAAAATCTACCCAAGTCACGTGCACTGTTGTTCGCATCGTGGTTCAATCCATTTGTTTTCTCTACGTTTCTCGCAGTATGGATAGTTTTATGTGCAATTAATGCAGTGTTTCAACTTATGCGAGTGGCCTCAACAGATCCAGAAGGGACGAAGAATGTGGTGCAAACGACTGCAGCTTTTTTTCAGCCAGCAGTGCTACTCTTTATACTTCAATATTGGGGTATAACATGTTTACTTATTCATGTTGTTTTCTCTGCAGAATACTACATAATAGGTAGTGCGATGTCTTTTTTACCTTTTTTGGCAAGTTTTTATCAGGCAATGGCTTTAAGTGGGGATGAAGTGGATCATTGGCCCGTTTTATGTATTAATATGGGACTCTTATTATCTTTTGGAGTCACAGTGGCATTTACAGTGCCGTGGCTAAAGAATGAGTATCGCATCGCTATGCGAGATCTTAATGCGCATACAACCAACGTCTTGGGGTACCATAGGAAGGCTGAGAAAGTAGTGGAACAAAAGAAGCGTAAATAAAATTTCGGTACTTGTGCTTAAATCTCTCTTTCTTTCTATATATATATATATATATATGAGTTCTTTTGCATTTGTGTATGTTGATTAAGGTCTGTTTTTACCAGTGGGTTTTTTTTTCTATTTTTTTTTTTTACTTTTTTTTATTCTTTTATTTCTTCTTCTTTATCCGTTTTCTCTCTCTTTCTCTCTTTCTGTCTCTAACTCTCTCTCTCTCTCCTGCTGTTTTGTTGATCCACACTCATTCTTCTTTCCGAAAAGAAATTAAACAATAAAACAAAATAAGAAAAGAGACATATTATTTTATAAATCTATTACTATTATTTTTTAGGAAAAAAAAAATATGGAATTCGCTATGAATGAAGCCTTGATACTCCAACCACTAGCGTTTAATGCCGTGGTGGCTGGAGAGGCGGATGAAGGCGTCAAAATTGTGGACCCCTCCAAAGGCACCGTGCAGGTTCGATTACGTTTCCCAAAGGCCCAAACTGTTGTTATTAAAACCCCAGAGAAAGAATACCCATTAATGAAACTTGATGATGGTATATGGATGGCTACTTTCTCTCTCCCTATTGGCTTCCAATACATATTTATTCTTGTTGATGATGCTGACGTTATATCACCATTCTTACCCATTGGGTTTGGCTACTCAAGACCTATCAATTACATTGAAGTTCCACCACCAACGAAGGAAAAGGAAAGCCTTTATTATTTAATGCAATTGGATATTAATCATGGAACGGTAGCGCATGAATTTTTTCAATCCAAAGTAACTGGAAGAATGGAAAAACTTCTTGTCTACCTACCTCCATCGTATCATTTGGGAAGTGATAAGTATCCCGTTCTCTATCTTCAGCATGGACATGGCGAAAATGAAAATGGCTGGGTGTACCAAGGAAAGGTAAATATTATTGCCGATAATCTTATAGCAGAAGGAAAAATGCGTGAGATGATTATCGTTTTTGGAAATGGTATGGTTCGTGTAAACGGAAAGGATTTGGATGCCGTGAAATATTGTGATGTGCTCGTTGAAGATGTCATTCCATTTGTAGAAAAACGGTTTCGTGTTCATGCAGATCGTGAGAATCGTGCTGTTGCTGGACTTTCTATGGGGTCTATGCAAGCAAGTTACGTTTCACTTCTACATCAGGAACTTTTCGCATGGGTTGGTCTTTTTTCAGGTTTTCTTCGTTTTTTTCACCTTGCTGAAACCAAGGAACACTTGGAAGTCCTTAAGCGTGATGTGGAAGGTTTTAAAAAGAATAATCGTCTCTTCTTTCGTTGTATGGGTAGGGAAGATGAGTTTTTCCCTAAATTTCTTGAAGATGATGTTATTCTTGAAGAAATAGGAGTTACAACTATGAGAGTTCTTTATAACGGTCGTCATGTGTGGCAAGTTTGGCGTGAGGCTGCAAGGGACTTTCTGCCACTACTTTTTAAACCACAGTAGTAGAAAAGGTCGTAATTACTTTTATTTATTGACAGCTTGGAAAAAGAATGCTCAAGTCTTACACTAATTATGCAAAATTATTTAATACTGGGAATATGTGTTTGTTCGTAAATTTATTTCATTTTCATTTTGACGGTCAACAATGGATAAGTTTCTGAAGACCCACCCAACCCACACCGCCTCGAACGGAAGAGAAGTTAAAAGGGTCTCTTAGTAGAGTTCCATTTTGTTACTTCTGTTTTTTATTTGGATATGTAAAACTATTAGGGAAATATAGTCAAATTATTTGATTGTTCTGCTTCCCTTTCTTCTTATAAGGTAAAAGTAAGATTTAGAGTGTTCGCTATTTTTTTTTTTCTCTGCGTTTGATAATTCATTACGTATAGTGTACTTGAGCATTACTTTCCCCGCGCAAAACAGGAAGATACTTAATTTATGATGGGGTGAAAAAAAGGGGAAAAAAAAAACGTTCTATTTTCTTATTAAAACTAAAGCATCGAGGCATTTCAAGGGTGATTTAATTGTCTTCAATTTATTCCGTTTGTTTGTTTTTTTTTTTTTTTTTTTTTTTGGGGGGGGGGGGCGCCAGGCTTCTTTAAAAACTTTGGGAAAAAAAGGTTTCACACGCTTTTTCTTCTTTTTTTTTTTCTCTCTTAAATACTTATTAACTATTTCTTTCAATTTTGTTCGTGGCTCCTATAGTGTAGCGGTTATCACCTCGGACTCTGAATCCGATAACCCTGGTTCGAGTCCAGGTAGGAGCATTGTTTTTCCTTCATTTCTCCTACATTTTTTAAAAAAAAAAATCCTTTTTTTTTTTATCATCTTAACCCGTTCTCAACTCCTTCTCTAAGTGGAGGGATCTGCAAAAAATAAAGGAAGAGGGACCTCCAGAATCTAACATTTCATGAATTCTTCCAGGTGAACCATCCAGTATAATATAGAGAGTTTAAATAGTGTCAATATCTTTTTCCCTATGTTTTAATGGAAAGAATAGTTATACGTTATTAATTTAAATACCAAAGAGAATTTTCTTGATGATCTTTTCTAATTTTTTCCCATCTAACTTTGAAGAAATCTAGAAACGTATTCGAGAAAAATAAAATAAATAATATAAATATTTTTTTTTCACCCGATGATTCTTCCTCAGAAAATACCGTAATGAAGAAATGGGGAAAAAAAAAAAAAATGAAAACAGCACGCACACACACAACGACCCCCGCATCCACCCACCAAAAAAAATATATACATATACACCAAAATCAAACGCATACTCTATTTTTTCAGAATCTTCTATAACATTTCTATAACATAAAACGTCGCTTGACTGCCAAAATTTTCCCACCCTACTACCCCAGCGATATTATTGTAAATCCAATATTAAACATTCAGATTCTATCATATTCTCAGAGGTTTCTCAAGATATTTCTCGACTATATTGGGCGTTTGGGTGCGCGAGAGAAAGATGACCAGAAGCCGCAGCGCAAGGAAATATGCGGCACAACCCCTTCTCCTGATAAAGGCCATTGTGTTTTTCTGTTGGCGTGAGGAAACGGCTGCTGCGGCGTGTCGGCTTGCAAAAGCCAGGTCGTGCGATGCGCTAACGAAGCCGTCAGGCCTAACAGCATCAAGCTTGAGAATAATATCGCCTTCTTTACAAGAGCGGTTTCTGCCTTCCAGAATGCCGTCAGTGGGAAAAGAAAAATTTTTTCCTCCTAGCATTTCTTCCGGTTGCGGGCAGGTGGACGACGTTTGCCCGCCATGGCAAAACGGTGAATCCCACACGAGCGAAAAATGTAAAATAAAATACCCCACACCACCTTTAAGAGAAGCTAGAAAGAAAAAAAAAAGCCACCCCCACTTGAAGTAAGAATGATCGGAGGCGCACTGTGCGAGTATAAAATGAGGGCGCCGCCCTAAAAGAAATAAACCCAAGCCGCCCCGGGAAAAGGAATCGGCGTTATCCCCTTTCCGCGTTGGCGCCGGCACACCGCCACAGCGGGCCGCCTGGGGCAGCACGCAACCCAACACCCATAACAAAGGCAGACTCTGATGGTACGCCGCCCTTTGCCTCTTAAAACCGTCGGGGGTGTGGGGCTTAGAACATGGTATTTCCCCACGGCTGCTGGCCCTCCGTCGTGGTTCATATTAAGAGAAAATGCGGTTCAATTAACAAACCCAAGAGCTTCACGCACCAAATGCCAAATGTCATGCCAGAAACCCCATTACTTCCCCAAATGGTCCAACGGCAAACCGAAACACCACCAAAAGAACAAGAGTGGCGCACGGCCCCTTCTTCGAAGGAACGCTTCCCGGCGCTTCCAAGGCGCCTCTTATATGGCAAAAGCGGCGCTGCCCGGCCCACCACCCACCCACCCCCAAAAAAAACCTTTAAAACCCACCTTTCCCCAAAAGCGCGTTCGGAATGAGGAAGGCGTTCCGAAGACAAAAAATACAAAGATAACGGGCGCAACGTTTCCGCACAAACCGTCCAAGAGCCAAAAGCCGAAGTAGGGATTGCCCTCGGCGGGCGCTCCGGGAACGCATGGCCCCCAGAAAAGCGCCCCCACACCCCCCCCATGCCCAGCCGTCCTGTTGGCGATGCCGGCCGTCTGAATAAACGCATCCGGTTATGCACCCACGGCGGTGGGTCAAAAAAAAAAAAAGAAGGGGCGCGAGAGCAAAACGGCTCCTGGAAGGGAGTTCGGCGTTTTGGGCCGAGGCCGGGATGTAGGAATGGAAATTTGGACCCCAAAAAGGAAGAAAGCGTGAAAAGCTGTCGTTCCACTTATTTGCACTTCTGCGCGTGCGAGGTTTCCCCAAAGATAGAATATTTGAATAAGGAAAAAATGTTTCGTGTGGGGGATCCGTTTGCCCACCTGCGTCCCCAAGCCTCGCGTTGCCGCGCGTTCCGTTGGAGAAAGTGGATTTCTATATAAAGGAAACCTCGGTCATCAGGAGATGGCGCCTGCAAAACGATATCGCTTGCTGGCTTTATGTGCCCCGCATTTGGGTTTATGCACTGCGGCAAAATAGGATCTACCAGAGGATTTAGGCACAGAGAAAGGTTCATGCTGGAGATGGCGAAGGCAAGCTGGCTCGCCAAATGTGAAACCCACCCTCTGCATCTAGACACCTGCCCTGCCACCGTATGCATTCGAAAGAAACATACGGCGGCTGGCGAGGGCATGTTGGGGACGCGCCTTTTATGAAGCCAGCCCAGCTTCTGCTTGTTTTATTTTTGGATTTTTATTTCCTGCTTTTTGTTTTGTCAAGACCCGCTTTTTTCCACCGCACCCAAACGGGCCTTTGCGGCGCTAGTCTTTAGCAATTGTTTTCCTACTGGGATAATATGCCTTTGCACCTTCGGGTGCCGCATGGAATAGGGTGGTAAATACCGGAAGCATTCTGGCTATTTAAATGGCCGGCCGGCATTTCTTCACTTTGCGTTTGGGGCATACTTTCATTATCTTGTTATACGGTTTTATGGGTGGACGGTCTGGGTTATATATTGTTTTAGAAACTTCGTGCGCAAAGCATCCTTTCCCACTTTTCATATTAGCACCTTGTATTGAGGGATATGGTGCGGAGCTGTGGCGCCTAATGGTTTCAGATTCGCCTTAAAGAATGGAAACTTTCGCTTGATGAATTTCATTGCCACGGTAAGGGGTTAAGAAAGAAGATTCTTCACTTTTACCCGATGGGCGCGGCAAACGGGCACTCGTTCCATTTCCAGATGCAATGTGTTTTTCTATTTCTTTTATGCTTCTAATGCCCCGATGTGTCTGGAAAGGTGGTTTTTTTCTTTGTTCTTGGAAATTAATCCGGTTGACCTTCTACCATGGAAATGGGGTTTGGGAGAACTATGAAATTTATTTAGCTACCGAATCGCAATCGCCAAAAGCCACATCGTCCAAAAATAATCTGTTCATAGTTTCCCTGTTGGTGGGCATGCTATCCGATTGATCACGAGAAATTCCTTAGGGAGTGCTACGTCTGGCGTTGAGGTGCCCCCTCTGCCAGCGAATTGTATCCTCTCTTTAATGTTTACAGGTTGAAAGGCAACATCGACACATTGCAGCAGAATGGCGTTGCCGCAAGAATCAAGTGGAACATTACGTTCCAATATCAGTACTTTTGGGTTGACGCCTGCGCCTATTAACTGGGGTCTGCCTTTGAAGAGCGGCTCGTTCAAATGTATCTCAGTGTCGCGGTTGGGTTGTAGGGAAAGGTGAGGTAGGATTATGAATTTGAAACCTTCAATCCAGACTAAACCTTTATTGTATGGAAATTAGCGCTTCAACGCTAAGATTAAATTGCCAAATTCGGTGCTTCAGAAGAAAAAAATTGCATATTCCTAAGTCCCGATGGCGTTTACCTAACTTTTTGGCTCGCTAGGGAAACCTCTGGGCTGCGGCTGGCCGTCCCTTTTGTTATTGCAGTATTTTGGGCCAAAAAATGTTACGTCATTCCATGATTATCCTTTAGGTTTGCCTTGCTTTTTTCTTTTCTTTGGAAGCCAGTTTGTTACACATGAACTCCGCCCACTGCTGGATCTGCAACGCGTACGAAAAGACCCCACTGAAGCAGGAAAGTTTGACACAATCAAGAATCGCAAGAGCAAGATACCGAGTATGGCAAAGCGTTTAGAGATTAGGTCCTTGAACTGGCGCTACACCTGCTGCTTTACGGCCACCGCTTCTTTTCCGCAAAAATGTTCCACAGAGACCTCCGGAACAATAATTCCATTGCCCGGCAGGCGCGCCAGAAGAACGCACCAGGACGCCGAAACAAAAACCCCACCCCCAGACAACACCGTTTTGCAATTTCGGCGCCGGGTTCCGCACCGCCCCCAATTACAAACGGTGAAAAGGAAGTGGTAACTAGAAAATTAAATTCCCATTTACACTTCCGCGGAGCGCTGCGCCTCCATTTGAAAACCGGCAGCCCGTAAGGGGCGCCCAAAGGTTGGGGGTTCGCCAGATATCCCTTTTAACCGGCCACCCCCCTTGGTAAAGATGTGCTGCCTTATTGTGGCGCCAAGGTTAAGTGCTTTAATTTATTCATGGAAATTAAATGCACTCAATAAATTTTTGAAGGAGGTGGTCTCCTTAAAAACCAATTTCTTTTCTTTTTTTTAATACATGCGTTCTTAGGAATGGCATTCCCTTGGCGGCGTTTGGCCATCGAAAGATGGACCCAAGGCCCATTATTCCTTATTATTTTGAGGGCAAGCCATGGGCCAGCAAATTCTCTTCTTGAGAGTTTACTGGTTTCATAAACTACAAACGTCATACAGCACCGGGGCCAGCAGAGTCGTGCTGGGACAAAACTTTATCCAAGAAGGTCCTGGGGCGTGTGCCGGCGTGCCATCGGCAGCAGTTTTTTTAATATATTTCACTTTAGTGTGAATGCTGCTAAAAAAGAAGTGGCACAGACCCTAGAGATAGTAACAATTATGTCCTCCAGTGGTGGAAATTGGATTTGGCCGCTGAGGCTACTCACAGAGGCGAAAAAAAAATCCATGCTCCGCCACCTGCGGGATCCATTTTAATCCCATTGCCAATGCACAATTCCCCTGAGTAGCGGTAATAAAATACAATGAAAAAAAAAAATAAAAAAAATAATAATAATAATAA